CTTTGAGAAAAGTAAATAAGAAAAGAGCTATTCATGTCTTCAGTAATTCGAACAGCATGTGTACACGGCGTAGTGCCATGCAAAGATGTAATCGGTCTGTTGTATCTACTCCGAGCTCCCGAGGTTATTTTATATCGATAGGCAGTCTGCGCAGTTGACATAAGGGCAATGGCTTAGAATTATGTAAATAAGATTTCGTATTGTTTGTGCAACGTTTACACGTCTGAAATCAAATGGTGAACTGTTCTATTCATGTACATACTTGAAATCATTTAAGTTTCGGAAGATTTTTATTTTCACGATTTGTTTTCGAATAAACTCGATAACGAAAAATTCAAATATTTCTTCATCGTTTATTGATAAAAATTAGCCAAACATTACCATACGCATAAACGCAAATAAAATATTGAAATATGTAAACCGCTCATATCGTCTGTATGATGATGTGTAGGCACTAAAGACAGTTATTTGTGTACTGTATATACTTTTCTACACAATATACAGAATTATTTATATCAGAAAGCGGCAGTAGTAAACAGGGACTTTAGAGCATTAACCAAATCGATTTATTGATAAAACGACTGTGTCTAGAGCACACACACACACAAGAACACAAACTCCTCATAAACCATACGCATTTAGGCTTTTCTTCCAATTAGTCTAAACATGTTTATGCCAGACGCAGACACTTGATTAGGCATCAAGGTATGACAACTTATTAACGCCTTACAATGACGATGGTAACATTGAAAACAGGCATATTTTTCAGATAATATAGCTAGATTTTATGATTTTTATTTTGCACATATCTAAATTATTTATAAAAGAATCCAATAACAAGCTGTGAATTTCCAAACAGAATGTATTCCAAGTCTAACTAAATATTAAAAGTTTTGACATCTGCATCATAATATAATAGTTCTATCACTCGTAAAATGTTCATGTTCTAAAATAAAATAACCAAAAGCGTTCTCACTCGGGTGTGTCCACAATTGCGAGTTGCATTGTCAACAGGGTTTGGTTTGGTTTGTTTTGTGATTTACGTCCTTTTAACAACTATGGACATTGACGGACGTGCCAGGTTTTGGTGGTGGAGGAAAGCCGGAATTCCCGGAGAAAAACCACCGACCTACGGCCAGTACCTGGTGACTGCAAACCCGCGACCCAGTGGTGGAGGGCTAGTGGTAGCAGAATGTCAGACGCATTAACCACTTGGCCACCGCGGTCAACAAGGCAGAAGAGGCATAAACTTTAGGAGCTACACTGGTTTCTAAGGGTTTTGTGCAAAATATTCACCTCAAAATCTTCTAATCGAAAGTGATTAGGTGGAGGTGGGTTTTTTTAAAGTTAAAATGGTTTTTAATGTATTTAAAAAGAAAAGTCATCGCGCTTCATTTTCTGAGACCGGTGAGAGTACAAAAAGGTTATTTACCGAGTTCCGTGAGCGTAGCCCGCATGAAACGTCAAATAAATGTTGTTTAACTGACAAATGAGTTAAATTCGTATATAGCATGTTTAAGGAACATTATCGCTGCTATGTCGGAAATTTAATTAGGAGAATTTAACAAAACCTGCCATCTTCCAAATGATGAGTTATATCATAAATCCTCTATTTATTCAAATACGTGTACTTTTTTCCTCCGACTTCAACGAAATTGTGGGATGATGTCCCATCATTAAGGATAAATCATTTTTTTGCAGATAATATTAAAAAGTACTAAAGTCGCATTACTAAGAACTTTAAGATGATGAAATTATGACGGATTACAAATTTAATTTTCCACAGGATACAGATTATATTTAGTATGTGTCGATTTTATCTTTAATTCAACGACATTGCTACGTATCATCTAATCTAATTCCGTGGTATTATGCATTCGGTAAGTCAACAGATGAACCAATCAATAAAACCTACATTCAGCTTGTTTGAGGTTCGACACTTCAGGAACGTTCTGTACAGATCAAACACTTGTAAAAACTACTTCTCTTAAAAGGGTGATAAGATTTGTAATAAGTTTACCAGTGTGAACTATGTGTTTGGTTTGCTTGTTTGTTTGTGTTTAACGGCCCATCGACAACAATAAAATGTGTTTGTTGTTGATGATTTGGTGAAAAATTAGCATCGGTTTTGGGCTTAATTAAACTTGTTTAGTGCATACGATGTCAAGAACCGTTCACAGTAAAACACTTGTTATTAGACTGCATTGACTTTCAGCCAACACGAGAAAATGCCGATAATAACACAATAAGTCTTGCATCGTTTTTCGAAACAATAAATATCTCTTCAATTCTTGACTATCTGAAAACTGTTTGTCTGTTCCAACAGATATAGGGTTCCATAGTCAACTTTGATATTCAAGTTGACGTTTGTCTTAAGACTTTTCCGTTTTTTATACCAATTTTATCGACCAATTATGTGTTATGATGATATTTTTTCTGTTTTGATGGGCCGTTTAGAACGTACATTGTAATTATTGAAATAATAATATTTAATCAAATTCTTGTGGATACGATATCTGTCTAATTCAACTGGAATTAAATTTAATAACATACAGTTTAAATAAACGCTATATATGTACAGTTGTATATACAATGTGTCTGTAGATTTTGAGATCCTTACATGTACCCTGTCTGTGAGAGTCAAATATGGTCTTCGGCGTTTGAAACGGACTATGTACAGAATAATTTGTGTGAAATCGGGATAGCATCGTCGGAGTAAGCAGAACGCGTACACAGATAGAGAGAATGACCCTTAATCAATATTTGATCACAATTTCCTATTATTTGTCAGTCCCGACTGGCCTATTGTTACCGTAGTCAATGAAAGATGCCAATTACATAAATCGAGCATGTTTATTTAGGTCAGCGTGTGGTTTACCGCCATTGGTCAATGACCGGATGTGACGTCAACATATTACCTATATATATATTTAACAAGAAGAACAGTTAACTTGGAGTAAAGGACGTCTCGAACAGAACAGATATTGCCATAGGTCTCGCTTATATTGAATGTGAAGTTGGTTTGGTTTCTTTTGGTTTAGCGTTCTTTTAATATGGTTTGTTGGTGTACTTGCTTCCTTGCGATAGAGTGGAGCTGATGCCGACTTTAGAGTGCTACCTCACTGAAATACCACGCCGAAGGGACCGAAAAAAGTATTTCACACGGCCGGTATTTATATTATACTTACAACGGGTAAACCACTTGTTGCGATTACCTTAAAGGCTGTACGTTAAGCAGTGAATAACAACTACTATTGTTAAAGACTAATGCATCATATCCCGACCTGAGAACAAAAGAACAAAACCCATTGTCTACCCTAATTGGGTTAACGTTCAACAATGAGGCAAAAAACGAGGCATTGCCAAGAAAGGCGCTGGAAAATAAATGTTAGGAAGGCGAGAGAAAAACGAGAAACGATTATAAAACGTAGATACAGGCTGAAGATTCACCGAATTGTACTTCTCGATATTCCTCAGAACAATTTTAAATAAATTAAACGCTCCGATGTAAGCTTAAGGTTGGCGGTAGTAGCTTTTTTACAAGATCGGCCTAGCTTCCCAGCGTTACCTTGTGATTCAGCCGTTAAAGAGTTGCTACAAGTTGCCAACACTGGATGTATGTAGATGCAGAACCATTCTCCCACACTTTATAGCATTCCCGTTTGTGCTAGGGAAAGGTTTTACGACTTTGTCTATGTATTGATGTATAGTAGAAAGGCATAACCCAAAGGACAGAGTTTGGTCCGGACTTGTCCCCAAAAGTGAAGTGTATACCCGAGGGTCGTATATGTCTATTCTCACATCAATTTGATACATGTACAAATGTACGTGTATATGAACTTATTTTCTCACATTGTTTTCCAATTTATTTGATCGATAGGTGTAACCGTCATCTTGAGGCAAAATATTAACTTCTTTATCATTTAATGGATTTTAAAATTATTTATTCCACTGTAAATTGGCCCCGTTCTGAATTTTAAAAATTTCGCCCGCAAGTTTGAAGATCTCTGTCTATATCACACAGGAATGGTAAATTCTTTTAGACCTACGCTGAATGCGCCTTTGCCGTCTGTAGACTTGTTTGAACACTCAGTAAAGGGACTATCTGACAAATGTCTGTCAATGTAAATACTGGCCGCGTCTTAAACGATTTTAATTAAGTTTACCCAATGTCCAAGTATAGCCGTATTCCTTCTATTGCCAAACAGACAAAAACAAACACTAGCAATAAATATACCCAAAGATCACTTGGAATAATTCTTTTCCCAAAAAATCTCCTTAAAAGTACATGATGTGTATTTTAATAGTTCCTTTCGCATCAAAGCACAATACTCTGAAATGAGATCAATATAAAATTGAAAAACTAAATAGTGGTATTTTAAAGGGGAATGCGCAGCATCATTTGCAGTCGACATATTGCTTTATATATTTCTAAGCATTTGACGAATGGTATCTGGGGGAAACTGGACCGAACCTGAAACGGCTTGGAATTGTAGTGCACATGCTATGATCATTACATTGCGTTGATCTACAGAATTCGTCATTGCATCAATGAGGTGATTATCGTCGCACCTTTAACGTTAACTGGAGAGCAAACATGTTTGAAAGCCTTCATCAAGCAGATATATATTGTAACATATGATTATTGAAACAGACATCTTAACGCGGTAAAACTGCCGAATTGCAATTGCAGGGGCAACACTTGACAGTATGGTTATAGGAATACTCACAGGGACCAGTCACATGGTACGACACACTGATACATTTGTAAAATGGTCTATATACATGTATAGTATGAACATCTTTGATGCTTAAATCCATATGCATAGTCATCGCTTTATATTTCTGCTTTTTATCACATGTTTTTTTTTTTTTTTTTTTTTTATTGCCAGACTTAATATACATATACAACCCAAGGCTCAGAAAATCAAATTCATTGACCATTGCGCCGATATGGTTTCGGGGTTGATGGGTGCAGAGTGAGAATGAGCAATACTTACGGCGTACGGTATGTGACTGACCAGTCCACTTCCAAGGACCCACACCAGGACAAGACGACATACGTCCCAGGCAAATGTCAGCTGATGATACCTCTCATGTATCGTGTAGGTACCTGCCCCGGGGACACTAGATCTCTTTTGGGGCAGATAAAACCGCCCCGCCCCGTATTTCACCAGCGCAACGCGTCTGACGTACTTCAACAAAACTGTCGCGTCACACACACAAATTACTGAAAACACAACACAACTAAACACAATCACTCCCATTGTAACCGCCATTCCCTGTCCAAGATCACTGCTGAGAAAATGACACTTTCCCTCCGAATGAAACGTATCTGGAACAGCCCCTATTATTGGTAGAAGCCCCAACACAGCCGATAGGACCCATATCGTAGGGACAACTCCCTTTACAATTGTTGTAAATTTTATCCGTTTCCCTCTTGTCGAGTATTTCATAATTGCCGACCACAAGACGGAGAGAGACAATAAGGTAAGCACCTGTAGAACCCTGAAGGTGATGAACGCCCAAACATAGAACTGACACAGAATATCCGGCCACGTGTTTCCGGTTATCTCCACAAGCGCGGGAACAGACGGCAGCAGAAGACTGTTGATGGACATTGTGATTGCGTATGAGAAAAGAAGAATATCTGAACCGTGATAAAAAGGTGTGTAGTGAGCGATAACGACGGCGGTTATAACGCCAGTGACGCCAGCAAGGGGAGATAACACCAGCCAGAGAACGTTGATCACAAATTCAGACATCGTTGTGACATGCTCGCCACAAAACACGTTTCCCCTTCTGACATTTACCCTTGACTTCTATTACTCTAACTCGCCAAACATAGACACCATTTTTCTGTCGTTTGCGGAAGACAGTAACACTACTCTTGATTAAGCCTCTTCCATGAATAAAACATCACCTCGAACTTCCGGTGAAGACGGTCGAATATATCCATACAACTATCAAATGGATTTTTATGTATCACTCCGCTCTTAGGTAAATTCCTCCGATGTACTTACATACGTTTGCACTCCCTATGATCATTGATTAGGATCCAGAGATGAGTAGACTTCGTTTCCGGGGAATCCCTTACTCCCCGACAGATTCCAATATAAAAGACTTTTATCCCATGTATTTTTACCAATAAGTAAATCTTTGACGTCGCTGGCCATTCTGTCGGTCTTGTTTACTTGGGCAGTGTGAATTCATGATTTCTTGTCTTCCACTGGTACCAGACCATATAAAGTTCCTGTAGTTCAGTTCTGAAAGAAAATTTTCAAAAAGTAAAAATAAAATCAATTAAATAATGCAGGAATCATTGATTAGAACAGATACAGTGTTATCTGAAAAATCTCCTTGACGAGATGAAAGTACTAGAGACTCGTTGAGAATTTGTCTTTTTATATTACATGTATTTCTTCGTCCTTAAGGATCATTTTTCTGCTTTTATAATATTATGTGATCTTATGCTGTTCAACTTATTTCACGTCCGCACAATAGCGCTTGCATTGTATTTGTCGGTAATAAACAATGTCCTTTAAATTTCTTAGTCTCAGACAAACCGTTCCTTCTGATAGACGTATATATATATAGTTCATTGTCGCTTCTACACCAACACAATCTCAAAACCAACAATCGATGGTTTCAATCCGGTGACCCGATTCTGTACGCGTTGCATTAATAGCGCCGATAATGCCCCATCTTCATAATCGAACACTGCCTACATAAATTCTATGCGTAAACAACACTTTTCTCTTCCAGGACCGAATATGAAACTACAGCCCCGATTTTAGACCCAGAAACACAATGCAATTCAGTATTAATAACTACCTTCCTGTACCCGTTTTTCCTCGTGAGCATGCGGTAATTAAGACCAGGTAACACTAACTTAGGGCTGTGTCTGTTAACATCTGTCAAGCACGTGGTTCGTCCGCTATTGTTGGTGATCAATTATTCATTTTCAGTTCGTAAATACACAGCAGAGAGGGTTATAAAAAGTCTGACAAAAGTTTCGCTCGCATAGGTAACATCACTGCGCCATAAGTAAATGTAATCAACGAAAATCGATCAACCACATATAGAGGTCAAAGGTCAAGTACAGAGTATACACAGACACGTGGCTGTTGTTTATTTTTATTCACAATCGGGTTTAAATGAAATCTTAAAGACAAATCTTATTTGAAAGCCCACTTCTATATGTGGATTGTTTAAGCACAAAGATCTTAATGTTTTCTGCCGATAAAAGTTTATATATATTTAGAATACCCTATTCATGACCTGTGTTCCTTTAAAATGAACATACTACACAACCTTAGAGATAATGTCTGGCTTTCGATAGCATCAATCGGATTAATTCAGTCATACAATAAGTCATTGAAGCACGGATAATTGGTTCGGGACGTCAGGTTGTATAGCGGCAGGTGATGTATAGGGGAATGTACCAGGTTCACGGGTGGTCAATCTCACCGATTAATTAAGCTCGGTCTTCGTCGATGTACCCTTTACGTTAGGGACGTATTTTCTCTTTGCAATGATTCCGTATTTAGCCATTCATTCAACAACCCTAATTATTTCAGCCTCACAACCCCATCTCCACTTACACATCCCCCATGCATCCCCGCTCCCAACCAAGAGCACCATCCATAGCCTCATACTCTATAGCCTCCCTCATACTCTATAGCCTCATACTCCATAGCCTCATGGCTTATGATACAATCATAACCCTCTTTATTTTTATATAGCCTTAATCTTTCGTCTTTGATCATCGTCTGATATATCTCTTTTCGTTTCTCTGTTCCTATATTTCTCTATTTATCTGTCTCAATCTTTCTATCCTACCTACTGTCCCCACTGATCTCTGTTCCCATCTTTCTATCTCTTCCTATCTTATATAGTATATGTCCTCGTCTTTCTTCCCATGTATCTGTCGCCATCGAATTCGTTCTCTCCTTTTTCCTTTGTCCGTCTTTCTCTCCTACTTGCGAAAAAAATGTTTATGTCTTCATCCGTCTATTCTATTTGTAACCGAGGTCAATCGTTTTTGAAATGCTTATAACAAATCAGAGACAAATATACATATATGGGTCGCAAGAGTAACAGAAGTCAGCTACCGGTAGAGATCGAACCCGGGACCTCTGGTATATTAAAGAGCGATTCTCCTTAGCTGAGTAAAATCGGTAATATTTTTTTTATGTTTCGTCCAACCAATAGCTTGGCAAGCTTCTCCCTTCAATAACTGATGTCACGATGTTTACAAATCAATATGTACTTAACTCAAAACACGTGACAATAAAGTCAGCAACATATACACGAGACTATCACTGTAAATCAACGTGTCGACTTGCTAATCACATTAGGGATGTCCCCGTGTGTTGTTGTACATGATGGTTCATAAACAGATAGCGATTTTAAAACCACATTACTATTCACGCCTAGAATCAGAGACTACACAAGCGTATACAGTTTGTATCTTTGTATAATTTGCATATCTCTAATATCGGTACTAAAAGTACATTTAGATCAATACCTTAGAATAACATTCAAAACTGCTTTATTTATGCTTACAAACAGGTGTCCAGCAATAGAAAGAGTTGTTCCATGTAAAATACCTGTATATAGTGTAATGTAATCCTATAGAACCTATCACTGAAGCACAAACACACTTCTATCATACACCTGTGGTGAAATGTCATACACACACCTAGTACATTGTATATACCTGTACACATATTTAATACACACACCTGTTATATACCTGTACAGACATGTATTACACACACTTGTTATATACCTGTACAGGCATGTATTACACACACTTGTTATATACCTGTACACATAATTAATACACGCACCTGGTATATACCTGTACAGACATGTATTACACACACCTGTTATATACCTGTACACATAATTAATACACACACCTGTTATATACCTATACCTGTACACATAATTAATACACGCACCTGGTATATACCTGTACAGACATGTATTACACACACTTGTTATATACCTGTACACATCATTAATACACACACCTCGTATATACCTGTACAGGCATGTATTACACACACTTGTTATATACCTGTGCAGACATGTATTACACACACTTGTTATATATATGTACACATATTTAATACAAACCCCTGTTATATACCTGCACAGACATGTAATAGACACACTTGTTATATACATGTACACTTATTTAATACAACCACCTGTTATATACCTGCACATACATGTAATACACACACCTGTTATATACTTGTACAGACATGTAATACATACACCTGTTATATACCTGTACAGACATGTAATACACACCCCTGTTATATACCTGTACACATATTTAATACACACATCTGCTATATACCTGTACACACACGTAATACACACACCTGTTATATATCCGTACACACATGTAATACACACACATGTTATATCCCTGTACATACATGTAATACATACACATGATATATACATGTACATACATGTAATACACACACCTGTTATATGCCTGTACAGACATGTATTACACACACTTGTTATATATATGTACACATATTTAATACAACCACCTGTTATATACCTGCACAGACATGTAATACACACACCTGTTATATACCTGTTCACACATTTAATACACACACATGTTATATACCTGTACACATATTTAATACACACATCTGCTATATACCTGTACACACACGTAATACACACACCTGTTATATATCTGTACAAGTATATAACATGTGTGTACTGGTATATAACAGGTGTTTGTATTAAATATATGTACATGTATATAACAAGTGGGTGTATTACATGCCTGTACAGGTATATGCGAGGTGTGTGTATTAATGATGTGTACAGGAATATAACAAGTGTGAGTAATACATGCCTGTACAGGTATACACACACCTCGTATATACCTGTACAGTCATGTATTACACACACTTGTTATATACCCGTACACACATGTAATACACACACATGTTATATCCCTGTACATACATGTAATACACTCACATGTTATATACCTGTACACAAACGTAATACACACACCTGTTATATACCTATACAGACATGTAATACACACATTTGTTATATACATGTACACATATTCAATACAAACACCTGTTATATACATGTACAGGCATGGAATACACACACTTGTTATATATATGTACACATATTTAATACAAACACCTGTTATATTCCTGCACAGACATGTAATACACACACCTGTTATATGCCTGTACAGACATGTATTACACACACCTGTTATATACCCGTACACACATGTAATACACACACATGTTATATACCTGTACACAAACGTAATACACACACCTGTTATATATCCGTACACACATGTAATACGCACACCTGTTATATACATGTACACATATGTAATATCACACTTGTTATATACCTGTACATACATGTAATACACACACATGTTATATACCTGTACATACATGTAATACATACACATGTTATATACCTGTACATACATGTAATACACACACCTGTTATATACCTGTACAGACATGTAACACACACACATATGTTATATACATGTAAACATATTTAATACACACACCTGTTACATACTTGTACACACATTTAATACACACACCTGTTATATACCAGTACACACATGTTATATACTTGTACAGATATATAATACACACACCTGTTATATACCTGTACACACATGTAATACACACACCTGTTTTATACCTGTAAACACATTTAATACACACACCTGTTATATACCTGTAAAGACATTTAATACACACACCTGTTATATACCTGTAAACACATTTAATACACACACCTGTTATATACCTGTTCACACATTTAATACACACACATGTTATGAGTCCGAAATAAATTTCCTTTACCTGAAGTCATCGTTTGTTTATAGTCATATTTGTTATTTTTGGTACGTATACATGATTTTACCATATACAAACAAACAATCATGTATCTATAAGGTTTCTCATCTGCAGTTCTACATAATGTTTTAAACAATCTGATGATTGAAACATACACACTGTACAAAGTAGAGGATGACACAAAATATCATTGAGTTATGGGGCACCATATACATGTACCGTACTCATCACTATGATACAAAAATACACATATCAACATTTAAAACAAGTTAAAACATATATGTTTATCACTTACACTGTTATGCTTACGTGTATCCATCCCACCTGTTACAGGTAGCATGTGCTGAGTGGGAGAAGCTTTCAACATCTTAATTATAAAACGTTCTTTTGAAAGGACAAATTGTTTAAGTTTTAATATTAAAATGTGTATTACAAGAGTCTAAAGTTACTCTGTATGTATCAGTAATGACTCAAACCCAGTGCATACAAATTAAAAAAAAAATGTATGTATATCTTTATAGAAATATTCACTGGGACATGAAAACTGTTACAGTTGGTATATGTATGGGCCTATACGGATGTATAGGGAGCAATATCAGACATGTTAACAAACGGTCGCCAGAGTAGTATGTCCCTGTGCTACAGAATAAACCAGCATTTGCCAAATAAGGGTGGGGGCATTTTAACGATAGCTGATCAAAACCCATAAAACGTCTAACATTATTCTGAGCACATCAGTTTATGTCCAAATACAGCTTTACTGTAACACATTCTCAGGTCCCTGTCCAGACCATGTCTAAATATTCTTACCTTTTGAATTTTAAGCAGACAGATCCTTCGTTGATATATCATTTATGGTTTTAGCCAGTCTTCGAGATATCGCCACACTATAGGTAACATGAACATATACTGTTCAGTACTTAATATAGATATATTAACAAACGTACCCATACATTTTAATATTTTCCTGAATAAACATGTACCTGATATTTTCCGTACAGTGTAATCCAGGTGAGGTTATATACATGTATATACGTTAAACCTTGCATCTATCCAGGTAATTACAGGTGATTTCAAATAGACAGGTGTATAGTATGACGATTCGGTATTGTTCATCAACTGTCGCTAATGTCCATCCCTATAGCCACACACGTCTGCTGCTGGAGTCGTCGCGAAGCCTTTGTCACATAGCCAGGTGTTTAGCAGGTAAGACCGAAAGGAAACACGTCGTTTATAGTGTTTACAACACTTTTTAAAACATCGCACACTGTTACACTCCAATTAGCACATAAGTCACTTGTAGGTAAAAATCACAACCGACTCTATTAATGATCTATTTATAGCTTGTTCCGTGCTGACAATGCTCGACGTAGTCACCTGTGTCGGGTACACGAGGTATCCGGTGTTCGCGTAAAGCACATCGCGTACGACGACCGGGGTGCACCGGTTACTGCCAAACAAAGACACCCCATGTCAGCTTCATAATTGTCCAAGACCAATTGTTGACGATGACACATTACCCGATGGGCCAGGCGTGGTCGTACGGTTGTGTGTGGCCATGTACTTGCATTGTGTGGCCGTCCGTTCGGTACTCTCTTCATTACACAGTATGCTGTTATTATGCTATGTGATGCTGGCTCGTCCATCGATCGATATCGAACAGTATAGGCTACAATCACACATGCGCAACACAGCAGTTCTTGTGAGTATACGTCAGGGTTCAGGATAGTATAAAAGCACATTAATATTCCGTGTATAATTGTAAGGTATTTATACATTTATGTGTTTGCTACCTTACACAACCAGGTAGATTTACGTAATATACATTTATAAAAAAACATCAGTGGCGTAAACGCTCCAATTAAATAAATATTTCTTAGAAAATTTCAGCCCGGGAAGGATTTCAGAACGGAAAACATTTTCAAAAAAGATATAGCCCAAACACATTCTTGTCTAACACTGCGCCGCCCCACAAATTGCTTTCTTACACCATGGGGTATACATTTGTGTCTTGACAAACTATATGTATAGCAACTAGATTGTTCATTCCGATGAAAAACATAAATCGCAACTTTAAAATCCTATTTGAAACACGCAATTCCTTTATTTGCGGTAATTCTTTCTCTATAGTAACAATAAAGTTCTTTAGGGCTACATGTAACGCGATGTGCTTGATATAACGAAAACCACTCGTGCTTCGCGAGCAATTATTTTTTCGCTTATTTCACAAGGCAGGCGATCGCAAATTTAAAGATCTCACAGAAAATGTTCAACCAGAAGTATTCAATGAACTTATATAATTGTTTCTTTCGCAAATTTAAATCGTCGCGAACATTTTGTCAAGAGATTTGTCTTCAAAATAAGGTATTCGTAAGAATTGATGTGTTTTACAGTAAACAACCCTAAACACACATTCTTGTCTGTCGTACTTTTATATAGCTCATCTTTACAAATAACTTTTAACCGTACATGTACATCTTTGATCTTGTATATCATAATTGTTTTATGTAAATCATCGTATCTTAATCAACTTATTAAAACGTTTTCGTCATTTTAAGTTGTACTTAAAAACTGTTCAATCCGTCCACGGCCTCTCTCGAAGAATGCCATATTTTTCTCCTAAAAGGAATAAAGCTTTTGTTATTCAAATTTCAATTATTCATCCATTTACTTTGTTGTGTCTGTATAAATGAATGAATAAATAAAGGACAACTTATTTCTCGTACAAGCATGTAATTCTGTATATTATACATGTATGTGCCTTGTACGTCGGTGCCCACTATATCGGTCGTCCTGAGTATTGTATTGGGAGATATGAATGTCTGTTCCTTTGTTTCCAGATAAGACTCATATTTCCTACGGGAGCATACCCCGAGCACGGGTCATACGTTTTATTACCTAGCTAAACGATCAGCATTTTAGTAAGCGCAATGACTCGTTAAGCCGTTTTCAGCATAGTGTTAGCGATTGAAGAATAATGTATGTATCAGTGAGGTAGCACTCTAAAGTCGGCTTCAGATCCGAGATATCGCAAGGAGGCAACTTCACTAAAACACTGCCTCCAACACACACGCATATACAGTACACACGTAAGGGAAGGTCCTTAAATTATCTTAACTTAAATCAGATGCTTTACACTATAAATCAGCCCAAACCAAATCTCGGGAAATCTTCATATCTGCCTATTTCCCTTGTCTTATACCGAGAAAACACGCAGATATCATTTATTTTTCATCACATTGTTTTTTTTATCCGTTGGAAGAAATAACAAGTGATATTGTTCTATCAGGTGAATGTAACATGCTCCAGCTAGGTTTTTTCTGAATACATGCACCAAATATAATCTGAATCTGAACTCGGACAGGCGCTGCCAAAAGAATTAATGTGCAACTTCGAGCATGTGCTGTCTGTAGATGTGATGTACTTATGCGTAATCTCTTTATACTGAAGGGTGTTGAAGCGAATCAGACACATATTGTAACATAGACGAGCTATAGTATTACCTCATATTTCGATGCACAACATCTTATTAATGTCTCAATAAATCTAGGCATGAAATGAGCTTTCGCCGCGCAGAGCTCATAATTAAGTTTAAACGTTTGAAAAAAACGATACTCCGTTAAAACTGGATTACGGCGGCTCTCACGTTTGCTGGATTTTTGAAGCAATGGAGAAATTAAATTGCCACTATTCGTCATGACTGACAAATCCTTTCATTAAATCAAAAGCCTATGGCAACAGACGAAATCAGATTAGAATGTTACATACAAAATTATTAATATGCAACACATTCCTTTTGATATCCCCCTTCTTCCCAACCCTATTCAGCCCATTGAAGGGACCTTTTCTCTTGTTACATGATCGTTTATGTCAAGTGGATACATAAACTGAATTATAGTCTTAAACCATATGATTTCGCTTCAATAAATTTGAAATGAAATGGTTTGCCGACTACATTTCCATGCATGATCTTTTTGCAAGGTAAACCCCCACGCCACCCCTTCCATCCCCACTTCTTTACTAACAAAGCAGACACTCTGATTGGATGACAACGCCGGGGGTCGCTAAGGCTACTGATAAACATAATACCCTTATACATTTTGTAACTTCAGCTACTGCAATTCAAACCAAGCACTTTAAAAGGATGACAACCACGGAACAAGCTGTTGTTACACAAACTAGCTATACAAGCACACGGAAGTCGCTCCGACTACTGTATAACAAACCAGGCATTCTTAATGAATGGCAGGCACATAGGAAACTGCTTCGGTTACTGTACTTCAAACCAAGCACCCGATAATTAGTGACAGCACCGGAAGTCATTAAAGCTACATTGAAAACAAACAAGCACTTTGGAATGGGTCACGTAGACACGTAACCCAAAGTCGCAACGGCGACTGCAATTCTGACAAGCCAAGCAATCTGAATCACACTGTTATAAACCCAAGCACACGCACAGAATCGGTTAAACGTCCAAACGCCACTGCTGCTATACTACAGAGGGCAGAGGGGGGGATGGGGGGCACCCTGAATTAATGACACACATGAAAACCCTATGACTGATGTAAAACAAACTAAGCAATCTGAATGGATGACGTAATCGGAAGTCGCTACAGCTAGTAATATTAACTAATTATTCAGAACGGGTGACAAACCCGGAAACCTCTACGACTAAACAGCCAGTCATACGGGGCAGTTTTAGCTTTCGTGTTAAAAATCGGCCTAAGGGGACCTAAATAATTTGCAAATATAATGAGTTTATAAGGAATGAATAAGTAATCAGTAAATTGATATGGTGCCCAATAACTGCGATCTGGCACCGGCTGTATCACGACTAGTTAGCTTAACGACGCATTAACCAGAATTTTCAAAATTTTATTTTTAAGCAAAATGTGAAAAAATAATTCCATACCCTTATGTTTTTACTGTGTTCAGACGTATATTTTAAATCCCTAAACATTTTGTTTAAGTTATTATTTCCCTAGTTAAAAAAATATTTTATTAAATGTTGAGTTAATTGGTCACTATGCTAAGAATGCTTGATACAATAGGGCCCTGAAACATGGACGATAGCCTTGCTTCCTTGACGCGGTTTAATGCATTTGAAAATTAAAATAAAAGGTTTAAACACCAGCATTGTTTGACCTGAATTAGATACTACTGAGTATATATTGTGTAGTGTGATTTAAGTCCATTTAACCAGCGTTTGATTAAAGCTTTCTGAAGTTGTACATTATTTATACACGACAGGGAGGTTCTCGTTAAATAATACCTTATGTTGCATGGCCCGTTGATGATTGGCAGACTAAATAATGGCGGTGTTGTTTGATGACGAAGGGATTTTACGAGGCAACAGAGTGTAATACAATAAGGGAAGCTTAACAAGAACATGCATATACAAATAGTGTGGTGCATGCGATTACATACTGGAGTTAATTAAGGAGCCTTGTTCCGGAATAATACGGATATATTATATCGTTAAAGATGCCTGACCGTCAATTTTAATTAAGGAGAATATCCACAATGCGAGAATAACTTACCAGATATTTCCGGTTCTAGAACAATTACATGTTAATTGCAACTTCCCAATGTCAAAACAATGAATAATTTACCTTTTGTAGCAAATTAATTATGTTGTTATGAGGCAATCTTTATGCCGACATGTAAGATCGCCAATAAGAGAAGTAAGAGGTTGTCGGCATCTTCCTGTTACGGACAAAACTAAAATACTCTCCGATACTACATAAAATTAATACAAGACAATCAAGACAATGTATTGAGAAAAATTCAAGTAGAACACCATATTCGCACATACTGTAAAAATATACATATTTTCTCTCCTGATATGCTGGTTCGCCTAATACAGGGAACATCTACGAAACAGAACATAACATAACAGATCAGAAAAGTCCCCATATCCCGAAAACAAAAGGCAATTACTCTGTATATAATTAAGCACGAGATCCTTTTTTAGTCCACCGTCCGAATACGTTCTCACATACAAAATTTGGAAAGAATAGGTGACAATGTATATGAGATATGTTCAGGAAAACAGGAACGAACCACAGGAGGTAAATCCGTATAAAACGCTGCAATAGGACCGGTTTCAGTACGTAACATAGCATCCTCGATATCCAGGGCTTACGCTCACTTTCGCTCTCTGCACCCCTGGAATATGTCATAGCAAAATTGAAGGCACGAAGATAGCTGTTTGATTGGTCTCGGGTAAAAAAAACTGACCAATCGCTAGGCTGATACCTGTCCTTTGAAGATTACAAAAGAGAGACGCCCGACTTACAAGCCTGTGTATTTTTACCGTTTCGTGACCGCGAGATTCTTTTGATGTACATCAAAGGATCGAACTAGTCTTCTTGTCTCATCAAGAAGGTGGCACAAACCAAGCCTTCATTTGCTATGACATATTCCAGGGGTGTAGAGAGTGAAAGTGAGCGTAACCCCTGGATATCGAGGATGGTAACATAGGAACGGATACACAGGAATAGTAATCCACTGATCGACTGTCTGATGGAGTACTTAAACATATAGTCCCTTCAAGTGGTACTGTTAGGGAACGAAAAATCGAATTTCTCATATCTTCATAGTTATTA